TTGCTGATAGAGCTACGAAGAGATAGTATATGGTGAGGCCCATCCTCGTAGTCACATCGAAAGGTGTGCGGCTAACAAGTTCCTGTATATTGGTAGCTCATTTTGCTAAATATGAGCCTCCACCTCATACTCATACCCATCAAATCCTTTAGCATAACCATTTTTTATTTATGCAGAATGCCCCAACACAGTCGCTCCTGAGTGTAGTTAATGGGATTCTTGATGAGAGCATTGAGAGAAAGAGTGGGGAAATTCCTCATGTATGGTGCCGAACTGACAATCAATTCATTCTACCTTATCATTAATTTTTTTTTAGTGCAGTTAGTTGCACTCCTCTTTATTCTATTCAACTTTTAAAAGACCACTAACTCTTTCTCCTTCTAGCGCATAGCATGGTTGCTGAGAAAAGTTGTACAAGAAATTGAACGTCGTGTTTCAACTCAAGCGGACCATATAAGAAGTGTACGATAGGAACATCACTTTTTTTTCTAATTTCATCGTTTTCGTGTCTTAATTTAATCATATTTCCTATTTGCAGCAAAATAATCTCATTAAAGCGCGTGAAGAGAAGTATCAATCAAGAATAAAAGTGCTTGAGACATTAGCTTCTGGGACAAGTGAAGAAACCCGGGTATGTGATATGTAGCCACATCTTTTGGGGTTAATCATGAGACTTGGGTTGTATTTGCTAGCCTGATACAAGTGTTTTTTTTTTTTTGTTTCTTATGCCAGATAGTTTCAAACCATCTGGAGAAGATAAAGGTCTGATTCCTGTCTTACAAATCAACATATCATGTATAAGTCTTTTGCTATAATTTTTGCATCATAAAAATGTAGTTTAGTTAAGCACTCATTTCACACTCATTTCATTTTTTAATATCTTGTATCCACTGTTTTGTCTAAGTGATCAATTGTCACTCCAAAGATTTGACTATTATTGTGCTTTTCTGATATAATCATATATCATGATCCATACCTACATGTTAATGTGCTTAGGCAGCAGTAATACTTAATCAGGTCATGAGGTGCATAACTGGATACAGTGTCTGCATATGGGAAAACTTTATATATGCACACATACTTTTTGAGTCCAATGTTAAAGATATAAATATGAGAAAGTGTATGAAATAATGAAATGGCTGATAACTTATTTTAGTTTGTGAATTCAGTAAAAGAAAAGTGATCTTTCTACTTCTTGATCAAAGCAAATGAGGAAAAAGTAAAAGAGAGAAGAGCTTAGAAGATGACAACAGGAACTTTTACTAGAGTACTGAGATGAAAAGATGGAATGCAACCACAAATGTGCTCCTATTGAAGAAAATGAGAATACCATTGCGATGAGAATGAGACCAAACATAATCACGTGCAAAATTTCCCTTAGTTTTTAACGAAAACTTGTCAAGAAATGTCTCTGGATACAGATGCGAGTGCAATTTCAAGACAGAAGAATTATTGAAAGGGAGATATTGCGAGAGAGATGTATTCTATGAGTAGTGGAGAAGTGAGAACAATTTTTACCCATAAAGTTGAGGGTAATATAGTAAAAATGTCACATCAGATTTACTTTTCATGAGAAAGATTCCCATCATTCTGTTTTCATTAAGAAAATAGTTGATTGGTAACCTTTACACCACATAAAATATTACATGAACCAATGTGTTCTAAAAAAATAAAGGACTAGACACAAATCCCACGAATCAATGCAATCCAATTAATCTAGTCTACAAGATTCTTACCTCAATTCTTTCTTCTAATATATACTTATACATACATATACATGTACATGAACATGTACATGTGTGTGTATATATATATATGCACACACACACACACACACACACACACATATATATATATGTGTGTGTGTGTGTGTGTGTACATGTACATGTATGTATGTATGTATGTATGTGTATATGTATATATATACACACACATACATACATACATACATACATACATGTACATGTATATGTATGTATAAGTATATATATATATATGTATGTATGTATTTATGTATGTATGTATAATGACCTTTAAATGCAAATAAAAATATTCACTTACAACAATCCTGTAAAAATAAAAAGTGCACTCTACTTGATCTCTTTTTTTTAGGGAAGATAAAAATAGGCGAGAAGACCTATTCGAAATATATTAATAAATAACTTAACTAAGATTAACTAGTGATATCAAAGCATGAGAAAATCAAACAAATTTCGCTATGAACTATGACTGATGGATATTATCCCTCAAGACCAATATATAGCTTTCAAATCATTCAAATTTGCAAATTAACCCATAAAATTACAAACAACATTTGAAAATATAAAAATTACAAATAGCCCTCTTAAAGATATGAAATTACAACCTGCCCCCTTAAAAGTATGAAAATTACAAACAACCTCCTTTAATTTACAAACAATCTTTGAAAATATAAAAATTACAAATAGCCCTCTGAAAAGTATGAAAATGCAAGCAACCCCCTGAAAAATATGCAAATTACAAACAACCTCCTTTAAATTCTAAAAATTACGGCCAATCCCCTGAAAAATCTTGAAACAAGGCCCTACATATTAACAACGTGGATGTAATTCATATATTTATGTTCATACCGTGAGCATTAGCAATAGTCAAAAGTTCGTAACTCAAGAGTATTTACATAACATTGATCACATACTTTCACAGTCTTGGTTGAAAATAGTAAATAGTCACTGAAAATGTGGAGCACAAAAAAGGTTCATAATTGGCAAGAATCAAAAGTTCATTAATCAGGAGACATTAAACATAACAATGATCACATCAAATCATACTTTTCACAGCAAATAATAACTGATCACTGAAAGAGTCGAAAGCATCAAGAAGTTGATAGAAGCAAATAAAAAATGCATAAAAGTGTACGTGCATACATATAGCATATCTGTATGTATATATGTAGAAATAATGTATATAATGTATGGTGGGACATGTCTGTATATATGTGCGCACACACATTTGTCCCTATGTCTCAAGTGCTTTGGAATATCCTGCTTCCTGTCTCATCTTGTTAAACTAATATATGTTGTGTGTAATGGCT